TTCTAGCAAAAGAGGTTGCACGATATTTTTTGGGGGATTTATTTACGCAGCCCTCCATCAACTATCTAATGGTCCGTCCCTCCGTCAGTACCATACGTTTAAAACCGCGTACATTTTCCTGTTATGTTAGTTTAATAAACAAATTCTTTACATGATTGCAGCCGTACGTATGTGTTTCTTTCAAATTTTTATAAGAACCAATCGCGAATAATTCGTACGGGACACAGGGAGCCCGGATTTGGAATCTGTACATGAATAAATAAATCAATAAAGTGCTTTGGGTTTCCTGTGTTGAGATTTGGTAGCTTGATAGCAGATTAATGTAAGTAATTCGAGAGCAGAATCTCTCTTTCTCACCATTTCAGTAGGGCGTGCGTTACACTGATACTTTACGTTAATCTGCTATCAAGTTACTGGTAGTACGATTACCGGAAATTCAACGTATCAGCGCCTTGTTTCAAATCTCAACACAGGAAACCCAAAGCACTTTATTGATTCATTTATTCATGTACAAATCCCAAAGCCGGGCTCCCTGAGTAGGAAAGAAAATAAGAAAGGCATATGAGAATACTAGAGGGAAGAGAAGAAAAGAGAAGAGAAGAGAAAGAAAGGGAATAAAAGAAACAGAAAAGAAATAAAACACAAGAGAGAACAAGTGAAGGAAAGGAAATATCCCTAAATGGACTTGGCGCGAAAATCGTAGGCTTGTATGCAGATGACGTCATAGTGTAAAAACGACTTCCAGGTTCAATATTTAGGCAGTTTTTTTAAAATTTCTAAGAAATCCTCTATTATCAGTATATTTGTTTCAAATTCTACTTGTTGCAGGTGGAATATAAGTATTTAGTTATATTTTTGGAGAAATTTTAGCGATTTTCTCCGGGTAAGCCATTGTAGCCGGAAGTACGTCACAACTCAAGCGACTAAGTCTGGTTCGGTTTTGTCAGTGAGACGATTCACTTCAGCACGTAATAGTACGATCGATCATTTAAGGAAGTTTATTGTACTATTTTAACAACAAAAAAAGTTTTATTCTACCAATTTACGTCCTTGCAATCTCTTTTACTTCTGATACGACATTTAAAACCGATAAAAACAAGCAATCGAGAACACAGAGGTTGTAAGATTAATATTTTTTACTAGACAAATTTTCAAGGTAAGTTTACGTCAAAATGTAATAAGTAACCTTGAAAATTTATCCATATGTTAAAGACTTTTCTATTTCTCAAGTCTTCTTTCGAAAACTCTATATTTTAGCTTGTCATGGGTCTTCTTTAACTTGTGCTTTTATCTTTGAATACTCCTTCATTTAATATAAAGACTTGAATGTCTTATGACACATTAAAGTAATTTAGCTGGATGTTGAAAAAAAAATTTTTTTAAACCATAGAAAACCAATTTAATAATGTGTTGAAAAATATATATACAGCTTAGTCAGTTTTAGCTGATTTTTGATTATTGATAAAATCCTTACGTGTCGTGTACAGTAGATGTCAGATCGATGTTTTGAAATTGTTTAGTAAAGCTAGAGGTAATATGTGTCAAAATTTACAGAATTAATTATTAGACAAAAGATTGAAGTTACTATATATCTATTATGAATCATTTTATTTATTTGTTAAATAATTTATCGGAAAGAAAGAGTTACTGCTTTCAATAAAAGATTTGAATAATGGCTAGACAAAAACCCTTCAAATGATCTAAATATTTTTGACGATATCTTATTGCAAAAATATGTAGATATTTGTTGTACAACCTATATAGCAATAAGAATGTTCCAATGTCAGTGTGTTATAAAGGGAATTGTGTTTTATGTACAAGGTAAGAATATCCGTACAGGCATTGAATAATTTTATGTTTTTATATTTCTTTGACATTTATATCAATTTTACATGCATTACTTCAAGATGGTTTCTCAAAACGATTCTGGTAAAATTTCAAGTGAGATATATAAACCACCGAAACCTTTTCGGGTTTTATTTTAGATTATTATGTCACTTTTTGTAATGCAAAAATGTAATGGTGGGCATATAACCATTTATTTTATAATAACTTAACTTTGCATATTATTCATAATGAAGAAATAGAAAACTTGAGCAAGTGCTGTGGGCAGTTATTAAGCACGGGGGGATTGGCAGAACGAGGAAAGTGTGAGGAGAAGCACAAAGCATAGCAGAGTGCTTCTCAATACTTCTTGAGCATTCTGCCAAAAAATTAATCCCCAAGTGCTTTATAACTCCAAATAGCACAGTGAGCAAGTTTTTTATCTCTTTTATGAAATACAAATTACAGGAATGACAAAACTGAAAGTGCATGCGAGTGCTGTGTGCTCTCATAAACATGCGCTCCTTAGACCAATCAGAACGCGAGATTTAGAACAGTTATTTTGTAATGTATATTAATAGCTGCAGGGTGACTAACAAAATAGACCTCTTAGGAATTTGTTTCAGTGATCATAAAACAAATGGATCCAAGATGCACAAAGTTGGATTTATTAAAGATACAGTAAATGTAAATGCATCAAGTGCAACCTTTACTTGGAGACATTTTTCATGGTCACTCAAGCAAATTTTGAATTTAACATTTATTTGAAGATATTTATAAATAAACTCTAATGAAAAAAGGCAAGTTTCTTTGAAGTTTGAACCTGTATATTTGCACATATTCTTATCAGAGCTTCTTGTGCATTTTAGTATGAGCAACGATGTAGTGCYGGCATCTCCTGTTTCTGATGACGACCAACCAATCCAGCTTAAGGTCAACTTTAAAGCTGCAAAGAATGGGAGCCAAGATGCCGAGCACATCATGCCTCCCTTGTTGGAGTATATTGATGCTAATGTTATCGGACGAGATACTGTTATTGATGGCCCATATGGCAAGAAACAAGGTATGTGATACTCCAGTTTCGAGTTCTCTGCTGCTCAGGGTTAGTTTTGACTTTGTGTAGAATATTGATGTTTTCCTGTGAATGTCTGTGGAATATCAAAGTGTTTGTGTTTTTAAGTTGTACATTCTTTATTTTACTGTTGAAATTTTTGAATATTTAGACATTGATGGGAGGCTGTTTAACCCAGAGCAAGTGAGTCTATAATCAAGGAAGACAGCTGTATTTTGGAACTCAAAAACAGTCCATTGAATTATTTATAATAGTCATGAAGCAGTGGGCTTCCAGGAACTGCATTTAAGCTACAGGCTATTAATAGCCTCCCTGATGTCTCATACTGATTATGGTGTGACTTGCTGTAGCATTTACAATATTTAAAATAATCTTTTTCTAACTAATGCTTAGGATTAAAATTGTACGTCTTCTTCTTTTCAGTTGTATACTGTGACTATACAGCATCAGGAAAGTAAGTAGTCATCATGTCATAGATTTTTTWAATAAATTATACCATGATTTGATACTCATAAGAAACAAGGAATCTTAGGTCTAAATTTACAACATTCAGGTCTCCGAGTCTTGATTTTTTAAATTATTTATTTATTTGTATTTGGTTTTTTTTTCGGAAGGTGTAATCTCCTCCCCCCCCCCAAAATTGGAGCAAACAGGAGAAACCCCCTTGAATCAAGGGAGAGACCCAACCAACATAAAATACTCAGGATATTCTTATTATGCTTTTCTTATTTTCAGACCCCTTCGGTTTATAGAGGAATACATTCATAACTATATCTATTCCTACTATGCAAACACTCACACCAGTACTACAACAACGTCGAGACAAACTACTAAATTCAGAAATGATGCAAGGTATGATATAATTTTAAAAAAATCATGCTTTACTTATAGTCTGCTACCTTAATTGATTTCCATGTCTGTCCTATCCTTCTATATTGTTCTCCACTCTTCCTTTCATTATATCATTTCACATCCACTTCCCTTCCTTGTTTCTCCCTTTCCCTTTTTTCCACTTCCCTCCTGGGCATCCCATCCTCTTCTATCTCTTTCCTCCCCTAACTCCATTCTCATTTGTGTAAAGGTTAACAAAACAAATTTGTTCAATTGATTGTTGTTTTTTTTTCCAGAGAAATTATCAAAACCTGTGTGAATGCTGTGGAGAATGATGTTGTGATCTTCACAGGCAGTGGTACGACTGGAGGAATACACAAACTGATACATGCATTGCAGCTGGAGGGACAAGCAGCCAAGAAAACAGTGAGTGGAAGTGTCTATCTGACTGTCTATGTGTTTGTCTGTCTGTCAGTCTGTCTGTTCCCTGTCTGTCTATCTGTATGTCTGTCTGTCTATCTGTCTGTCTGTTCCCTATATGTCTGTCTATCTGTCTGTCAGTCTGTCTGTTCCCTATATGTCTGTCTATCTGTCTGTCAGTCTGTCTGTTCCCTATATGTCTGTCTATCTGTCTGTCTGTTCCCTATATGTCTGTCTGTCTATCTGTCTGTCAGTCTGCCTGTTCCCTATATGTCTGACTATCTGTCTGTCTGTCTATATGTCTGTCTGTTCCCTATCTGTCTGTCTGTCTATCTGTCTGTCAGTCTGCCTGTTCCCTATATGTCTGTCTATCTGTC